CGAGGACTGGCCGCTGGGGGCATTCGGGCAGGGGCTGCCCCGAGCTGGCCAGGTACGGCCTGGGGAAGGGTCCTGGCCCCTGGGCAGCCTCCGGTCCCCCGGGTCAAATGGCAGAGTTCACCACCTCCACCCCTTACCCTGACTTACAGGCTTTCCCCGATGTTTTTGTGTTATATCTGAATCTATCTTCAGTTTTGCACCTACGTACTTTTTGCTTTTTTTTTAAATATATTTTTATGAATTAGGAGAGGAAGAGAGAGGGAGAGAAACATCAATGAGAGTCATTGATCCGCCGCCTCCTGCACGCCCCCTACTGGGGATTGACCCCGCAACCTGGGCATGTGCCTGACCGGAATCCAACCATGACCTCCTGGTTCAGAGGTCAACACCCAACCTTATTGAGCCACACCCACCGGGCATGGTTTTGCTTTGTTTGTTTTTGTTTTTTCTTTCTGACCTTAGCACTTACATTTCCCCATTCGCAGCCGTGGAACTCTGAACCCTTTGAAATGCCTACGACGTGTTTGCCCCTCCCCGGCTCAGCCTTGGAGCTCTTTGCCCACACTTTCCCCTTAGTGCTTTCACATTTCACTACCACACTTGTGCCAACAGGTAACGTGTCAGACCAGTTTCTCACTGTTGAGCATGACCTTGGACATTTTTCCTACCTGCACTCATTGGGTGAATTCATCCAGTCTCATAGACTCAAAACCCATTTAAATGTGCAAGTAATATCTCCAGCCGTGACCCTTCCCTGAACCTCAGACCCTGTACTTAGATGTCTGCCCACACTTTTCCTTAGAAGTCTAAGCGGGCCCCAGCACAGCAGGTCCAGAACAGCTCCTTGACATTCCCCCAGACCTGCTCCCGCCGCACCTTTCCCCACCCCAGTTACTGGAAACCATTCTCCCTGTTGTCCAGGCCTTGTCGTCCTTGACCATTGTTTTTCTTCCTCCCCACATTCAGTGTGTCAACACATCCTTCAACATGCACCCAGAATAGATGCACAGTCCTACCATTTTTACACACACACCCCCGCCCCCACCATCACCACCCTGGTCCAGGCCACCATCATCAGGTGCCTGATTGTCTCAGGAGCCTTCTAGTTGGTCTCCCTGCTTGTGCCATTCCCCAGTCTTGGGTAGTGACAGTCTTATGCTATTTCTCTTTCTCTGTCACTTCAAGTAAATAAGTTTAGAAGAAAATGGAAATGAGTTCTATGGATAAAAAGACAATTTTTTAAGCCTGTAGTTTGAGAATCGCAATTTTTAAACCAGGTACATAAGCACCTAACTATTAAGCTAAAAGTTGAAAGATGTCCCTCAGCTTTCTTAGGCGTATGACAGTGTCCCTGGATTGAACTATGGCAAGAGCCTTAAAACTGGCTGTCCGGAAGGATAAAATAATCCATGGGCCTCTTCCCAGTGAGGAGGAGAAGTCATGTAGGAAATTAAGCTGTTTGTTCCCTACTCTGGGGGGGGTTTGGGGGGGTTGTTATTTTTTTAGAGAAGCACCAAATGAGGCAAATTGAAACGGAGACAAATGCTCATCCCTGTGCTGATCATTTATAGTCAGTACCTGGGCTCTGATACTCTGATCCTCAGTCACAGTGACGCAGTGATGGATATGACAGGTCCCTGCCCTTGGGGAACTAATGGCCCCCACACACCTGTAGCCTTGCCAGTATCAAACCCCCATTTTCTCTCTTTTTCCATCGAGTGAAACCCTGATTGACCAAGTAACATGGTAGGATTGCTGCAACCTGCAAAGGGTCTATGGGATATAGCAGGTTGTCAACCTCCACTTCACTCAAACTTATTTTTTTAGCAAACATTTCTTTTTAATATATTATTTTATTGATTTCAGAGAGGGAGGGATAGGAAGGGAGAGATAGAAACATCATTGATGAGAGAGAATCATTGATTGGCTGCCTCCTGCACACCCCACACTGAGGATCGAGCCCACAACCAGGGCATTGATTTTAGAGAGGAAGGGAGAGGGAGGGAGGGATAGAATCATCAATGATAGAGAATCATTGATCGGCTGCCTCCTGCACTCCCTCTACTGGGGATCAAGCCTGTAACCCGGGCATGTGCCCTGACCAGGAATCCAACCGTGATCTGACACTCAGCCACTGAGCCATACTGGTTGGGCTACTTCACTCAAACTTGATCTCCCACCTGTCTCTCATGCTATCACTTCATAGAGGAACCTAACACTACCTAGTGGGAATCTTCCCATTCTCCAGCTACCAGAACTAAAAGCCTTACCTACCTTGTACCCATCTTATCTTCCTTCCTCCTGTCCCAGGCTACCCAGGTGACTTGGATATCATCTCCTCCCACTTGTCAAAAACCCTACCCTGTCACTGTCAGCTTTTCGTTCTCTCACCTGTGCAGTCACCTGTTCTTCTCAACTGGCTCTTTCCCACGCTCAAGTCTCCCAGCACAAAAGAAAGAGGGGGTGAATCTCCCTTGACCCATGTTCCTCTTCATTTTCTAGTTATTGCCCCACCTCTCCTCCCCTTTGAAGGGCCAACTTTTTTAAAGAGATGACCTGTTCAGTGCATCCATTCCATCCATTCCTGTCTCTTTCCTCAACCCACTCAAGCCTGCCTTCTGCCCTTATCTCACTACTAAAACAAAAACCACTCAGATATTCCGGGCCTCATCTTGCACGCTGGTTCTCAGCAGCTGAAATGTGATGCTGGTGCTCCCATCTCACTTTTGAAATGGTCTTCCCTTGGCTGCTGCACCCTCACCGACCCCCAGCCTTGCTCCTTCTGCCACCGCTCTGGCTCACTCTCCTCTCCTGAGCTCATTAATAGTGCAGTTCCTCACCTTCTCATTGTGTTGCCCACCCCCCCCATGTGCCCTATATTCTGACATTGGGCACAAATGCATGCCCACCATCTTGACTCCCA